ACACAACTGTGATTAACAACTACATTAAAACTTATATACCACTTATGAACAAGGGGAAAGTAATTTTTATTCTTGCCTTCTGCCTGTAAGCGCATTTTTTATAACTTGTCTCTTTAAAAATGTTTTCAAGAGTTTCTCAGTAGTTTTCCTGGAATCGCTGACAGCAACTTCCTTTCTTTGTCTTCGCTTAGCCTGTGAAAATAAGATTAACACCAATAAGATTTTGTTGGATGCTGCAAGATACGTACTAAGTGAATTAGCGTTATAACTCTGTACGCTGAGTCTATGAGCATCTCCTAACTCAGCTTACATTAATGGGGACGCACTCTTTGACTGTCTAAATCTCTCTGTCGGTCTCCTCTGTGGGATCCGTAAATAGTTTTCAGCTTCTGGGTACAAACGCACACAAGAGTTGCACTCAGGTCCATTCTAGAGCAAGACCCAGGCTTATGTCATTATCTACCTCTCTGCAATCTGATTTCTATGCAAATCAAACCTATACACATCAAAAGGGGGCTGCTGCATGCTCCAACAGCTGAGCAAGACTGGGATTGCAAAGAACACCTGCACAGCAGCGCACTTCAGGCCTTCCATCCTTCATGGCTCAGAATCATAAGCAGCACAGGAAGGAAACTGAAAACAGCTCTTCTTACTTTGCATTGCAAGGGCTCAGCAAAGGTTCTTACCAAGGTCTGTCTCTTCAGAAGTGGTGCCTCTCCATCAAAAACAAAGACAGGCCGAATTCGGAAAAACAGCAACTTGCAGAGTCGATGAAACAGAGTGAGGAGGTGAGCATTTCGTACAGAACTACCACCACGATCTCTGGCTCCCTTTATTGCTTGATTCAACCAAATACTAATATCTTAAAGAACCATTAAGAGGAAAAATCCACGCAAACTTACATATGTAACATGTTAGTAGTTTCTACAAAGTACACATATTTGACTGAGTGGCTTTTGCCCCCTGTTCCAGGCTTGATTTAACACATACCAACTTATTCAAATAGTTGTGAACTTTGGAAAATAAATTCTTGCCCTTATCACCTTGGACAAAGAGCAGAGTTGAAACAACTGTGCATTAGTGCCTCAGCAGTTAATTTCACAAATAAATGAAGGGTTTCCCCATCTTTCCATCATTTAACCAAGTACATACGATAGGAAAGTTTATGCGAAAGCATTTCAACTTTTTCACCTTATACTTCTACCTAGAGCAACACGTTACTTACAAAGCACAAAATCTGAAAGCTGAGTAACTTACTTCGAGCATCTCTTTTTACAAATATATATGTACACAAAAAGCTTAGTATTGCACATATAAAGCACAGAATCTACTTATGAAAGTATCATCAGGATTTCAATATTTTTTAAAAAGAATAATCACGTCAGAAATAAGAGAAATATTTTAAATAACCTCCCTCACAAATTTATTTACTTTCAAAGGATACCAACAGCAAGAATTTTTCCTTCCAGCATTTCTGGGTTTATGGGTCTCCCAGCACATTCAAGAAGTTTCCAAAGTCCTTGAACTCCCATTGTCCTTTCCCAGCCACTTCCAGAGAGAAGAACCTAGGAGGAACAAAAAAAAAAAAGAAGGAATAACCCGAAGAATATGCGATCCCCGTCCGCTTCATTAACGCGAATAACGCTGCAAATGCAGGCTAAGGGGGCGGGGCTGGGCTGGGGAGAGCGCCCGCCCCCCCGGCAGCCGGCCGGGCCGGTTCCGGACGATCCCCTCAGGTTTCGGTACGTGAAAAAAATAGGTGTTTTTTTTAAGGAAACACGGTGAAGCGCAGCGTTATAGCTGCTCGCCCGTCGCACGGCTCTAGGGGCCCCTCGGCTTACCGCTCACG